CACACTCATCACACACTCATCACACACACACTCATCACACACACGCGCGCGCAGCAAACACGACGTACACGAGGCCAAGAGGAGTCGTGGACGTGCGCGTTGTATACCCAAGCCAGGCCGTGGCCAGCATTGTTGCCTCAGCGTAAACTCCCGTCCACTTAAGGCGCCCCTTAGCCAAAGATAACATCCATTAAAATTAATCCCATCAGCAGACGATTACTGCGGAGGACAGACGCATAGCCCCGACCGCTCGTCCCGGATTAATGATGTTGATTTGTCTCAAACCCCAGCCAGCCAGCCAGCGACTTCGACCGTCAACAATAAAACTGCGCCTCTCACCTCCACTGCGAACCCCGGTCAAAGTAACCACCACCGCCAACTTCCCAGGCTTGATAAGCGGAGTGTGCACGTTCGTTGGGGATAAACGAAGGCGAACGCGGTATTTGTTTGCGTGTTAACTACTCGGGGGGGGGGGGGGGTAACAGGTGAGACCCCCCCCCATTGTGTGCGGTGTTATTGGGGGGGGGGGGGGGAGTGGTGGTGCAGCAGTTGCCGCGCTGCGCTACGAACCCGGCGACCCGAGTTCGATTCCTGCTCACGGCCAACACCGGTGATGATTATCTGAAGCGGTCCTGGGCCTCGCCTAGGCCGACTCAGCCTCAAACGAGTACCTGGATACGGTGTGCAAACGTTGCCGCGAGAGAGACAAAGGCGGCCGGGCGTGGTGCTGGCCACCGTTCCGGCCTTCATAGGTGCTCGCTAACAGCACTTGCCCCTACAGTCTGTTGAGGCTATGCTATACGGGGGATATTTGTCCTTTACTTTGTTGCGTATGTATGTGTTTGTCTTCGTTATTTTTGAATTTACATGTGCGTCTATAAGCTGCGGAATGTCGTAGGGCAGTGAGATTTGTGTTGTTTATGCACAGGGTATTATGCGTTTGTGTCTTTGTATGAGTATAATCTGAAGGCTGTTAAATTTGTGTTGTTCATATGCGTTACGTTATTTTATAACAAAAGCTATGTATATAGCTGCGTATTAAAATGCGCGTTCGATTCGTTCGTCTGATGGGTACGGTGTCTTTGTGGGGAGCGAAGGTGCAGTGGGTTAGGACACGAGGCAACGAAGCTGACCTCCCAGGTTCGATCCCCGCTTGTGGCCAATAATTAGCGACGATTTACCTGAACCGCTACTTGGCCTCCCCGAGGTCGAGTCAGCCTCCAACGAGTGCCCGGTGCGATGTGTAAACATCAGCCCGGGGGAAACAAAGGCGGCCTGGCGTGGTTCTAGCCACACGCTTCGTGTGCCGTGTTGGCTTTCTTTCATAAGTGCTCGCTAGCAGCACTTGGTCCGACAGCTCTGCTGTTTACGGCTGCTGGGGGACGGGATACTGTATTTGTCTTTGTGTGTAGCTGTGTGTGTAAGGGCGTGTTTATATGCGTATAATGGTAGGCGCACGTGTGTTTGTATATATGCATACGAGTGCACGTGTATCTGTGCTTTACGTGTGCAATAATTTGTCCTTTGCAAGTATAATAACCCTCGGCATAGATAATCATCAACGACAAACAGCGATGCGTACAAACTATTTTGGTTACAAGGGCGCAGCACACGTGCTATTTGCGTTCAAATTTAAATACAAATGTTGAGAGATCGGTTGAACAGTGGGGAATAAACACAAATTAATTTAAAACGTAATATCATTACCGCTGCCTTCATCGTTACCACTCGCCGCCTTATAAAGTAACTCTGTGCTGGAATGTTTTTAAATGTTTATTTTTCTATACAGCATATTAAACTTACATCTGCAACAAACATTTGAATTGCACGCGCGTGTGCGCGTGTGTACACACACACACACTCCATATCTCCCTCATGCACCATAATTAATATAAATAATACTTTCAATGCGTAACGCGCCGCCCGCACGATATTTGCTGTGAGAGGAGGGGGCGATTCCGAGGTGCAGAAGAGGAAGTTGGAAGACCGCTACGTAATGAGCCTGGTGCCAACAATTTGCTAAGCTCTGCGGTCCCCTATATGTTAAAGTGGGAGGGAACCGGAGCGCGCCCGAAGAACACTCACACGTGCGAGGGGGAAACACTCTATCTCGGGGGTTGGCAATCAAAATAACAAAATGAGCCATTTTTTCCCAATTCGGTAAAAAACCCCTCAATATTTCAAGAGCCGCCAATGCACGTTTAGAAGGTCGCGAAGCGGGCCTTAAAGCGCCGCAGATTGCCGACTCCTCCTCTATCTACTACAGATGGGACAGGCGGTGGGGGGGGTCCACAATTTCTGTACCGCCTTCTCGTGGCGAGCCAGGCTACGGCTCCAAGACCCCCACGTGACAGGAGATTCACAGCATTTCTGTGATCCACCAACCCCTCGCTGTCTCCACAGTGCTGGATCAGCGGCGTGCGCCATCATCGTGCGGCTGAATTGGGGGCAGCGGTGGCGCAATGGTTAGCGCAATGTGCCACGAAGCGAGGCGACCACGCTTAACATCAGCTGGGAGTGGTATATCAGAATTGCTTCACTAACCCACACAGATCTGCACGGTGAAGCATGGTTAAATACACTTACACGGCCGACATGGCTGTGGCCATGCCTTCGGCGGTGTAAGAATGAATCGGCAATGGGTTGAAACCTATTGGACGTGGCCAAATATTCCAATGCAGGATACGCCTGAACAAAAAGTTCAGACGCGTGACTCAACACATTGGCGAAAGAGGGCATGCACCGAGGAGATGGAGTGATGGAATCAGTTCACGTGTGCAGGTAGCTGGAGGGATTGTTGTATCGCAGGATCGTGAGAGATGGCGTCGGTTTGGGGGAGGCCTTCATCCAGCAGTGGATTGATCATGTCCGCTACTGCTGATGATGAAGACGATCACGACGATGTTCGTTGCAAGATCTCAGTGCAACTGGCACAACAACAATGAAACAAATACATCTGAACAATAACTCTGCGCGCATACGAATGTATACACGTTGAACTTCTTTCGCACCGTGCGTAGCCACCCGTGCTCGCCGGAGGTGCGGCGTTGGCGGTGCCTTTGCAATACAGTGGTTGACTGGCTCAGGCTGCCGCGGCAGCCCACGGACGGCAAACCTCGCAACAACAACAACAACAAAAATCAACAACAAAAAAATCCACGGCGTGTTGAAGGGTTCAAAGGCGGCTCGTCAGCGCGAGACGGAGGGACCTGGGATTGTTACCAGAGGCGCCCGAATCTCAATGCGAACTATTTTCCCATTTCGCCATCGCACAAAGGGATGCGTGGCTTATAAAAGCGTGAACTTTGCTGGCTGAAATGTTAATTTTAAAGGGGGGGGGGGGAGCGGGGGGGTGTAGGGGGACACGATAGTAGTTGGGGAGTCGTGTGTGGTGGGGTAAAGTGTTGGTACTCCCACCACCTCTTCCAAGACGTCGAGCCAAACTCGGAGTGGTAGGCCAAATGTCCTCTTATAGGGCTCTCCAGAGCCCCTTCGAGTGGAAGCCCCTTCCACCAGCAGTGGCGTGAGCGAGCAATCGCAGGGCTGCGCCTTTGCCCGTAGAACAAACATTGTAATTAAATTGTATCATTAGCCTATCATCAGCATCAGCAATGGTCCATCTGCTGCTAGATGAAGGCATCCCAAATCCTTCATCATTTCTCGCTATCTTGGAGACGTGATGACATTGCGCCTGAGTACCCGCACACGAGCCCATTCCTTTCATCTCGCTCCATCTCCTTTGTGGACGTGCTCTCGACGTTAAGCGGCCGATGTTCTTGGAGGTGTCTTTGTGTGCATAGATTGAAAACGCATATCGATATCAGTTTATACTGATCACCCGTATCTAATACATAGCAGGAAGTTTGGCGACGAACGTTATGATTCATAGTTGGGGTTTTTTTAAGGGGGGGGGGGGGGTGAGGGGGGGGGTCAGATCGCGTAAATTAAAATGTGTATGTCGTAAACCTTCCTCCACCCGACACAGCCAATTAAGAAATGTGGTCACGTGATGAGCACACGTGGCCAAATTATTATCGCTTCAGCAGCACCGGCAGCGTTGCAGAGTTATCTCGCCACGTCTGTCCATTTGCTCGTTATACGCCTCCAACGTAACGGTGTGTAAACACAGCAGACCCGTCTATTATTTCCCGCCACGTCGAAAATGATTTCCTTTTTTTTGCCAGGCAGTGTTAATGACGAATGTGCCGAGCTATTTGTTTGTATTCTAGGAAAGGGTCGTGGAGTCTTAAGACGCGCTTCGTCACGGGCCCCGCTAGATTGAGGCGAGTTCCATGAAGATCATCTACCTACGTCTCACGTAACCGTCATTCGACAAAAAAAGCAATCCATTCATACACCGGGTTAGGTCGGGGATGCGTTCCTGAAATGTGCTACGACGAATTTAGAAACGACGCGAATCAAAGCGATTTACAGGGTAGTAGTAGGTGGTGAAGGCTGAGAGGCGACGCATAACGAGACAGGACGGACGACGATGCTTGCTGTCAGCGACGTAAGTGTGGGGTTGAGGCGACGCAAATCGGGTGGCGGTGTTCAATAAAGTGACGACGCATTTGTAAAACGACGATAAAGGGGGAGATATAAATCGGGGTCAAACTTGATATATTTATTTAATGTATTTATGCGAATCCCCCCAAATAATGTCGAGCGATAGTATGGCGATGCCTTCATCCAGCAGTCGATTTAAAATGGGGATGTGCATTTCTGCTGTACAATGTCGTGTGGTCATCAACGGAGACCACAGCAACGAATCTCACGGTGTGTTTCGCTGGGCCTTTGATTGACAAATTACTGGTGCGTGTTGTCTGTCTAAAAATGGTCGACTCAGCCTCAAACGAGTACCCGGTGCGTTGTGTTAACAATCGCCACTAGGGAGACAAAGGCGGTCCGGGCGTGGTGCCGGTCACCCACTCCCCTCGTGTGCAGGTCTGGCCTTCATAGGGTGCCACTCGCTTACAGCACTTGCCCCAACAGTCTGTTAAGGCTACACGGGGGTTGTCTTTGTCGGCGTCGTAAAATCTATAGCTTACACAATGTGAATACACAGCGATTGGGGCAACGGTTCTCGCACTGCGCTTCGTTAAATTCCCGGCTAGCATCAGTGGCGAGTTAAGACTTCACCAACCGTGTGGCCCTCATTGCACCAACCGAGCAGCATGGTGAAGTATGGCCAAACAAATCCGGCGTTGGGGAGGGGGGGTTGTGATGAAAATCTCCATCCAGCAGTGGATCGATTATATGTATCATTAAGAATTCAATATACCCGAGAGGGATTGAAACGGATGGATGGCTGAAGTGTGCTGATCATGCTCACGCAGTGGATGTTTGTATTACATAGGTCTCAGACTTAATTCCATAGCGCGTCGGATTATAACAAAGCGAGTGTGTCGTGAATTACTCGAGTTGCTAACGGATGGTCAACTAACAAAGAGCACACCCATCTCTCTTGCTACGTTTTTTTGTGGGTAATCTATAACTTTAGATTCACTATAGATTATCCACAAATTCAATTAAACTGCGCACACTCGCGAACAGACGCACGGGACAGCCGTCAGCGCTACTAAACAAATTTAGTTACACAAAGACAAAGATCCCCCGTATAACCCTTTCAGGTTGTTGAAACAAGTGCTGATAGCGAGGCACCTTCAATTACACACACACACGCGCGCGCGCACACGTGTTAAACACGCACGCACACGCTCACAAAGTACCAAGTAGCCTGGGGCAGTGGCGAGCGACAGTCTAACAATCGAGTGGATGTGTATAAGTAGTAATTACGAGATTAGGATCTAGCGTAATATTGCAAAAGCGCTCATTGTGTTCGAGCGTCGGGCCTGGTTTAGAGCAGCTACACAATGAGTGTGGTACACCCCGTGTAAGACAGCAGCAGCAGCAGTTGCAGCAACATTAGACGCAGCAGCAGCGGCGGCGGCTTCGCCCTATAGGTGTGAGCTGATTATTCAAATCGGCGAGAGAGAGGCGCGCGCGACGAGGGGGTAAGGGCGCATCCAGGGAAAGGGAGCGGGCGTCGTTTTAAACGCTGCCCCACACGCCCATGCGCGCCACTCCATCCCACCACCACCACCACCACGCGCGCGCGCGCGCCTCCGCGAGCGGCATTCGACGTGCGAGGGTATCCGCGACAGGCAGCAGCGGCAGCGGTGGCAGCCAACAGGCAGCGAGCAGACAGCGAGCGGCACGCACACGCGCAGCAGCAGCAGCAGCAGCTCAGTTCGCACGGCGCTCCTCAGGTGCAGACGAGAGTCGTGTGCCTCTCTCTCGCCACGTGAGCGGGGGAGGCGACGCGAGCAGGCGAGCCAAAGGGGGGTGGGGGGGTGGTTGGGCAGTGATCTGTTATTTATTCGTTCTTTATTACGGAAGAAAGAAGAGCAGCAGCAGCAGCAGCGCAAAGAACAACGAACCTCCCCCCCCCCCCCGTCCAAAAAAAGCGAGGATATTGTTTCACACCATTATCTAAGCCCCCGGCCATGCACCTAGCCCCGAGTCTTCTAGGATCAGTGAAAATGGAAGGACACGAGGTGACAGACTGGAACAGCTACTACATGGACACGTCGGAGGTGAGTGAGCGAGTGAATGAGCGAGCGTCCGCCCTTGCGTGCGTGCGTGCGTGCTCGCGTGAAAACGTGTTGCGTTGCACTGTCGCTCGGCTGGCGACAATTGGAAAGCGCGATTTGACGATGTGATTGGAAAATTGCGATCCCACACTTGGTCGGTGACTTGGCGTTTGTTCTCCTCTCGACGGTGGAGGGGTTGGGGGGGAATTTCTTGTTGCCGCGAAGGTAACCCGCGGAGACGATAGCTGACACGGTCCGCGATTGTCTAAACGAGGTACGCGGAGCGGTGACGAATTGGCCAACTGGCGAAAATTGCGTCTCGCTGTGGGCCTTTTTTTCTGTTGTTACGGGAGGGCGATTCATTCCTCGGTGACAACGAGGTAAGAGACGTAGCGCGGCGCTCGTTCGTTGGAGCTGCGTGCTGTCTTTCGGGAGAGCGGCGATGCGCATGGCTCATTCATTCGCATTCACGCCTTAACAGATTGATTATCTAACCGTGGCGCATTTAAACACGTGCAGCCAGCGGTGGTATTGGCTTCAAACGAAATTCTTTTGATATTTGGCGATTTGCTGAAGTAAACTTCGTGGCCCTTTGTAAATGAATGGTATCCGCTGCTCAGTGTACACAAAGGCCGGGTTATATATGTACACACACACACGCGTGTAGGTATATGTATGTATGCACCTGTGCGCGCGTGTGTGTGAGCTAATTTATTTAACGTGTTGAACTGCACAGAACCACGGGGTGCCTTTGTGCCACTGCAGTCCCACACTCGCACACCGAGCCACACGTTGCTCAGTACGCTCTTAGTTTCTCTGGGATACATTTTGCCCACGTTAAAAGTACCACGATGGTTGGGGAGGGGGGGACGGGGAGGATGGCGGTGGTGAGTTGATGTGGGGGGGGGGGCGCTAGGTGGTGTTGTTGGTGGGGGGCCCCCGCCCACACTCCCCTAATGACGACACTCTGCAGGCACCCTCATTCTCACGGTCTCCACTCGCCGCTCCAGGCCGCCTGCCCGCCTGCCCGCTCGCCCGGGCAGCAGCAACAGCAGCAGCAGCGAGCAAGCGAAGCGACATCACCGCTCGTTTCGACGCCGCACAGCCACCCCTGACTCCTCTCGTTCTTTCAACCGCTGCCTCGTAGCCACTGACAGGGGGTGGGGGGGGGGGCACTTCGTTAGTCGCGCTCTCGCTCTCGATTCACTGTGCCCCGAATAAATAGTTGGCCGTACGCACGGCACAACGCGCGCGCACGCAAAGCACGTGAATAATCCCTGTGCCTCCGCTGCCGCTATGTTTTCCTGTTCCAAGGTGTACCCCACGGTGAGCAGCATGAACAACGGGATGGGCATGGGCGGCATGAACGGCTACATGAGCGGCGTGAGCTCGCTCAGCTCCTCGGCAAACCTGAGCGCGGGCTCGCCCAATATGGGCTACGTGAACACGGCGATGGGCGCCGGCTCCCTGTCCAGCATGGCCGGGCCGGGCGGCGCCATGGGCTCGGCCGGGGGAATCCCAGCCATGGGGGCCAGCATGAGCCCCATGGGGGCCCAGGGCGGCTCCATCAACAGCTACTCGGCGGCGTACGGCGCCATGAGCCCGGCCACCATGAGCCAGATGTCGTACGCGCAGGGCAACCTGAACCGTGCGCGGGACCCCAAGAGCTACCGGCGCAGCTACACGCACGCCAAGCCGCCGTACTCGTACATCTCTCTCATCACCATGGCCATCCAGCAGGCGCCCAACAAGATGATGACGCTCAACGAGATCTACCAGTGGATCATGGACCTCTTCCCCTTCTACCGGCAGAACCAGCAGCGCTGGCAGAACTCCATCCGGCACTCGCTCTCCTTCAACGACTGCTTCGTCAAGGTGCCGCGCTCGCCCGACAAGCCGGGCAAGGGCTCCTTCTGGGCGCTCCACCCGGACTCGGGCAACATGTTCGAGAACGGCTGCTACCTGCGCCGGCAGAAGCGCTTCAAGTGCGACAGGAAGATGGGTCCCAAGTCGGCGCAGGACGCCACGAACTCGAGACACTCGAGCGTCGACGGCGCGCACGTGGACGACTCGATCGGCGTTCACGACAGCGACAGCCCGCCCAGCATGGAGCAGATGAAATCCGGCATAGCGGACATGAAACACCAGCAGCAGCAACAGCAACAGCATCAGCAGCAGCATCAGCACGTGATAGGAGGACACCCGGGGGCCGATGGTTCCCCGTCGCCCGCGTCCCAAGCGCAGTCGATGCTGTCGCACGCGGCGCATCTCGTGCACGTAACGTCAGCCGAGACGGCGGCCCACTTGAAGGCGGACCCGCGTTACTCCTTCAACCACCCGTTCTCCATCACCAATCTCATGTCGTCCGAGCAGCAGAGCCACCACCACAAAATGGACCTCAAAGCCTATGAGCAGGCCATGCAGCAGTACCCGCACGGCTACGGCGGCAGCATGGGCAATAGCCTCTCGCTGGGCTCCATGTCCGTGAAATCGGCGCTCGAGCCGTCCTCGATGTCCAATGAGACGGCGTACTACCAAGGTGTGTATTCCAGACCCATCATGAATTCCTCGTAAAGGCCCCCCCTCCCTTCCACCCACCCTCACCTGCTCCCCTCCCCACTGCTCCCCACCCCCCAAATGAACGATCTCCCGTTTTACGCAATTAAAGAAAACAAGAGGGAGCGAGAGATGGAGAGTGGTAAAATAAAAATGTAGCAGTCACCTCTCCCAAGCGTGCATGATGGAAATACGCAATCTTATGAGAAAATCCAACTTTGACACAATACATATATATACATATTCTGGTATACATGCGAAAAGTATTTGCATTTTAGCTCAAAAATAAATATTTGGTCCATCCACGCCCCCCCCCCCCCCCTGTCTATTCCTGCGGCATGTCTATACTGCATCTTGTACATTCACACGCACGCGTGGAGACGCACGGCGACGCGCGTGTGTCCCTCCGGGTTTCCACGTTTCGCACGCTGTGAACGACTTGAAACGACATTGCGCGCGTGCAGCGCGTGCGTGCGCGCGCGCGTGCGTGGAAACGCGAACGTGTGTTCTCTTTGACCGTGTATAATAGGCATGTAGTGATGGGGTTTTTGTCTTCTCTCTCTTTCTCTCTACACACAATCTTATAATGTACAAACAAGCAACAACAATGACGTCAAACGACGCGCTCCGGACTGCCAACATCGTGCGATGGGGTTCGACGGATGAACGCCACCTTTGTTACTTTAACTTTGCGAACAGGCAATAATCTCAAGGAGAGCCGCTAATTTATCGAGCGGGTAACAACAATGCGCGTGCCCGCGTTGTTACCATTGTACACGACTCTGCGTCTAAACGGCGATATCTCCCGTCGCGTTCAGTTCACGCGAGCCTCGGATAGTGAAACTCTTACACACACCACGCGCACACACACACACACGCGCGTGTGTTTTTATTTCTTTATTTTGTTCTGTTGCTTTTTTTTCCGTGTGCGTGCGTTATTTATAAGATGGTCTAAGTCCAGCACTGGATGAACACATTATTTAATTTCGTTGAAAATCGTTGCGATGTGTGTGTATATATATAAATGTGTTGATTAGCGCGCAGCGAAGACAAGTGGCGTTCCTATTGGTTTAATCTTATATGCAAATAAATGAAACATGCTGTTGATATGAACACAATGTTACCGTGTCTCTGTACATGCGCGCAGACTGACACGTTCGCGATGCGTGTGTACACGTGTGTCGTCGCTCCACCACCATCACCACCATCACCCGCCCGGCGCATTGCTTTAAAAAGATAGTCCGACGGTTTTATGGTGGCCCAGTTTGTTGGCGAGCTGCGCTATAGGCACCCAAGCCAAACCCGAGTTTGAGCCCAAGCCGACTGCTGATATCGGTGAGCGGCAAGTGATGTCAGCACCGGTGCCTGCACGGCACCCTGCCGTTCCATCAATCCTCGCCGACCAGCGTGGTGAAGAAATGTGGGTTTCGTCGGCAGTGGGTTGAGGATGTCGGGCAAAAATGGTGAATAAAACGATGCCGCGCCCACGCAGTTTGAAAGTCCAGACATATACGCCACGCAAATCGCAGACAACATGCTATCCCATTGTTTTCCAAGACAATGGAATCACTTGCACATACGGGTAACGAAAGGTGGAGGGGGGGGGGGTATTTGTGTTTGTTTAGATTGATATTACACGTGCGTCTCTTCACTATTTACGTCGGGTTCACGTGATCGAAACGCCGCACGTGAGAAGATAATAGCATGGACCAAGCTGCCGCAAGGCATCATCACTTGACGTTGGTATATTTATCTGCAGCGACAGGAAGAGTGGTGCCCATCATTGCATTCTTACTTGATGCTAAATCTTGGCAATGCGTGTGGATCACCACCTGAAGCTTCCTGTACTTTGGACTGTTATCGTTGTTTTTGTATTGTTTGTTGTTGAAACATTCTGACCCGTTCCTACTGAGCATATGTGAAAAAGAGCTTTATAGCTCATTGGATTCCTCCGGTGTTGATGAATATTCAGATTCTGAAGTACAGGTAATGAAGACAGGATAAGTGAATTTGTGTTGGAGAAAACTTTCGTACATTGAAATATAATAATGTAAAGTGGTCACTTATTTTATATATATTTTACGTTGTTATATGTTATTTTTAGTATCGTACGCATTCTAACATAAAAAGCTACACGAACGTGTGCATGGCACATATGCCGAATATTCATAATAATGAACAGCCCATTGTTAATCAACTGCTGGATGAAGGTGTCCTCCCCCTCCAGCTGTGTTGGTTGGCCATGCTTCACCACGCTGGTCACAGTGCCGTTTGGTGAATGGTGACACAGGGATCGTTTGTCATATCACTCGCAACTCGTGTCAAGCCATGGCCGGGAATTGAACGCTGGCTGTTTGTTGTATTGATACGTCGGCTATGCGTTGCTGAAAGCTGCGACGACGAATATCGAAACGACGTAAATCAATTTACAGCAATGTACAGAGTAGGTGGACGAGGCGAAGGTTGAGGCGACGCATACAAGAAAGGACGGACGATGCGGTCAGCGACGTAAGTGCGAGGTTCAGGCAGTGGCGTCAACAAAGTGACGACGTATTTGCGAAACGACGTTAAAGAGTGAGACGTCCACGGGTTCGCCAAAAGCAGAACGGCTTTTGGCGAACCGTTGAACAAGGACGGTCACCGCATCGCGTGGCGCTTTCAGATGCGCTTCTGCGGCCGTCTGGAACGCTCTTCCCTCCGATATTGGGAAGCCACTGGAGCAATGCACTCTTACGTCGAAAGCGAATTTCTTGAGAATTGTTGTGATTCGTTTGTTGTCCTGCCCCCGCAAACTTCGATGAGCCCGGTGGACTACGTAGGGTGCGCCAGAAGTTCGCCACACTATGACATGCACATACGGGGACACTCCTTCTGCAGCTGCGATCTTCGCCGTCGAAGCCGGGAACTGTACGGCGATTGACGTTGAACGGTTCGACTCGCTTGGCGTGAATTAACGTTCGCAAATTAACACTCGTTAGAACGCAGCGGTTAAAAGTGAGCTAATTTTGTTTACATGTAAAACGAAATTTACAAGTAGATTTGCAACGGGCTGTTCATTATTCTTATCGGTGGCCTAATTCGGTACGTAACGAAGTAACGTGAGCGGACCGTGAATGTCGCCTTCACGTATCCGTCTCTCCGCGTGAAACACAATAAAACTACGCAACCGTGGAACTTGACGCAGCACATCAGCGGCAGCAGCAGCAGCTCACACGCGGCCTTCGCTGGTTGGTGGGGGTGGTGGTGGGGTGCATGCGATCAGCGGCGTTGATTTCACGGCGAGCAAAAACTCCGCACCGGTTCCGACACCTTGGTATCTCATCAGCAAGAGTGAGGCTTCCTTCAATGTTGATATATGACGGATATGGCAACAACGTTAGCGAAGATGACTGCACGTGTCTGTGTAGACTGCACGTGTCTATAGACTGCACGTGTCTGTATAGACTGCACAGTGTCTGTGTAGACTGCACAGTATCTGTGTAGACTGCACGTGTCTGTGTAGACTGCACGTGTCTGTGTAGACTGCACGTGTCTGTGTAGACTGCACAGTGTGTGGGTAGACTGCACTGTGTCTGTGCAGTCTACACACACACTGTGTGTGTAGACTGCACGTGTCTGTGTAGACTGCACGTGTCTGTGTAGACTGCACAGTGTCCGTGCAGACTGCACAGTGTCTGTGTAGACTGCACGTGTCTGTGTAGACTGCACGTGTCTGTGTAGACTGCACAGTGTCCGTGCATACTGCACAGTGTCTGTGTAGACTGCACGTGTCTGTGTAAACTGCACGTGTCTGTGTAGACTGCACAGTGTCTGTGTAGACTGCACAGTGTCTGTGCAGACTGCACAGTGTCTGTGTAGACTGCACGTGTCTGTGTAGACTGCACAGTGTCTGTGTAGACTGCACAGTGTCTGTGCAGACTGCACGTGTCTGTGTAGACTGCACGTGTCTGTGTAGACTGCACAGTGTTTGTGTAGACTGCACAGTGTCTGTAGAATGCACGGCGTCTGTGTAGACTGCACGTGTCTGTGTAGACTGCACAGTGTCTGTGTAGAATGCACAGTGTCTGTGTAGACTGCACAGTGTTTGTGTAGACCGCACAGTGTCTGTGTAGAATGCACAGTGTCTGTGTAGACTGCACGTGTCTGTGTAGACTGCACAGTGTCTGTGTAGACTGCACAGTGTCTGTGTAGAATGCACGTGTCTGTGTAGACTGCACAGCGTCTGTGCAGACTGCACAATGTCTGTGTAGACTGCACGCGTCTGTGTAGACTGCACGTGTATGTGTAGACTGCACAGTGTCTGTGTAGACTGCACAGTGTCTGTGTAGAATGCACGTGTGTTGGTGTGTCCTGCGTGCGCACAGATATTGTACCCGAGGCGGGTAAAGCGATGTGCGTACGCATGGATGTTCCAGCTGGCGTACAACTTATTACATTGATAATGGGTTTCAGATGCTTCTTGTTGAAAATATGAATATCTTGGAAATATGTAATTCACCAGTCATGCGTAGTGCCGCCACCGTCATGCGTGAGACCGGAATAGCGGCGAGATGCGCCGTGCACGAGTGCTGTATTTGCGATGTACGAATCCACCAAGGCGCATAGTACATACAAAGACAAATATCCCCCGTATAGCCTTCACAGAGTGTTGGGCCAAGTGTCAGCGAGAACGTATGAAGGCCGGCAAGGCACACGAGGGGGTGGGTGCGTGGCCAATACCACGCCCGGCCGCCTTTGTCTCCCCAGTGGCGATGTTGACACACACCGCACCGGGTACTAATTTAAGGCTGAGTAGACCTAGGGGAGGCCCCGGACCGGTTCAAATAAACGTCATTGATGTTGGTCATGAGCGGGAATCGAACTTGGGTCGTCGGGCTTTTAGTGCACCGCGCTAACCAATGCCCATCCGCTCCTTATATACCCACACATATATGTAGACACACACGAACATCTCAACACACAACGATAAGAACATCCAAAAATCTTTATTTACGATCATTCTATTAAAAATAGGGATAATTGCCCGACAAATCGCCTGCTACATCCAGTACTCTAAACATATATATTCCTTTTGCGAGGTTGATGTTGAGTTTGTTTTGGTTTTGTTATATGTGCATGGGCACCGCTGCCCGACGCAGGATCACTCTAAAACGTGTGGAATAATGACAAGAATAATAATAAGAATAACAACGAGAATAATAATAGTAACACGATACCCCGCGGTGAAACGCGAAGATGAAAGCGAGAGCGAGGAACCAAGAAAGGCGCCGACAAAAAATAAAAGACGCGCGGGTCGCGCGCACCAAACCCCGGGCGAGCGGTGTCGCCACATCGCCGCGCCTGCACAATGCCGATCCCCTGGGCCGAACATCTTGTCGGGTTCACACGAAAGCTGTTTCGGGCTTTGGCGGTGTGGGGTGGTGGGGGGGGGGTAACAGCGAGCACGACGTGGGGGGGGGGAGCGGCTATCCGGACAATTGCCGTGGGACGCACTCCCCGCAGGGCGCGACACGCCGCTCATCGGGGTCTCGTGGTGCCGCGCATTGTCTCGGGCGGCGGTACAGCACGGGCCCTCGGAACTGTGGCCACCCCGGCCTGGACACACACGTGGTGCGGCAGGGGGAGGCGGCCTGGACACACACGTGGTGCGGCAGGGTAGGCGGCCTGGACACACACGTGGTGCGGCAGGGTAGGCGGCCTGGACACACACGTGGTGCGCCTGGGGTAGGCGGCCTGGACACACACGTGGTGTGGCAGGGTAGGCGGCCTGGACACACACGTGGTGCGGCAGGGGGAGGCGACCGTGAAACGCGTTTCATTTGCGCACAAAGCACCCCCGATGAGAGAGCACGCTCGCACACAGCGACCTCAAAGAAATGGGCCCGACGCATACAACCAAAAGAGCTAATCAAATCTTTCTCGCTCGCTCTCCCTCCCTCTGTCGCTCGCTCATCTCGCTCTCTCTCCACCAAGCGAATGAATTCCTATGTTTGTGTCTGCTGGGATCGGTGGTGTAGCGGTTAGCGCGCTGCGCTACAAACCCTACGACCCGAGTTTGATTTCCGCTCACGGTCATCAACACCAGTGACGATTATCTGAACCGGTCCTACCCTCC